ACGCTTACTTATTCAAAAACTTAATGCCATTTAAATTATGTAGTCTAAAGGGTGACGCATTTATATCAGAAATGTAAGAATTTGGCTCGGATCAATCCGAGGGTGTTAAATGTGTCAAACTGAGGCAGAGGATGTTGTTCGCTTTCACCAAAAATGGATTTTCAAATAACCTATTTAAGTGGATTTAACTACGAAATTGCTATAAATCATTAAAACATCATACAAGTGAAGTATTTTGCCATTAGTTCATCAATATAGCACAGCTTGCAGTTTAATTTTCCCCTTTCTCTATTTATAGACGACCGACTTCCGCCGGTGGTCTTCCTCAAGTAGGTGGAAGTCCGACTGCTTGCACTGCAGCATCGGCAGTGGCCTCAGCGGCTTCAGCTGCCGCCGCTGCCGCAGCCTTTCTCTTCTCCGACAGCCTAAGACGCGCCGGCGGCTCACGACCTCTTTCTACTGATGGCTCTCAAACTCCGGATCGCCATCTGGTGCCCACCGGTCTCCTTCCGCTGATTGAAAATGTTTCTCGGTCTAATCTAAATTCCGGGGAATGTAGACGAGTTTCTTCCTTCATCGTTTCCAATAGAGAGGGGAACGGATTTGTATCGAGTGACGGAAACAGGGGCCAGCCCGATTCCACACATGAAGGCTTTTCTCATAATCTTCACAGTGTCGACACAACTGCTCCCGATGGTCCGGCTTCGGCTCCTATGATTCGGCAGGCTACTGGAAGAACGTCTACAAATGCGGACAGTTGGGCCGGAAGTGGAGCAGGCAGGACATGTGTCGGAGGCTGCCGATTAGGCTCGGCCACGCCTACTATGGGCTCTACAGGTGGTGTACACGGCCAGTTGGTCAGCCTGATTCGTCAGTCTCCGACGGCCAATGGAGTGAGTTTAATTGTCATCTGTCCTGGGAAAGGTGATGCTCTGTGCATTATGAATGACGAGATTCGTTAAATAGATTTCTAAGTATGCCTTTGAAGCGTGAGAGTTTTATTTGAGAGAATAAACAGATATTTGATTTGGTTTGTACCAGGGGTTAAATTCGAATTTGTAATATTTCGAGGTATTACTGTCAGACGCAATAAGAAGAATCCTTATCTGCTTCTGATGTATTTTTTGTTTTTAATGTAGGCTTTCGAGACAGTCAGTAGATCTTGAATACGCATTGTGTTCACCCTATTTTATTTAAGGTGACAAAGTACTGGTAATTAAATTCCCACAATGGTATGAGTAGGCTTCACGTTTAGATTAAATTTCACATTGCCTTGTTTGCAAAAAGTTATTCTCATCCAGGCAGAAATAGACTTCAGTTCCGACCATACCTAGGTCTCATTAACACCACGGCGGGACTCGAACCCAGAGTGTGATAATGTAGCGTATAGTCTCGACACGTTAACCACTACGTCACACTGCCACGAGTGCCTTTGGGCCACATAGCAGAAGTGAATTACAGGGAAGGTCTTGTCTTTTAAATCTCACTTCTTTCATGGGATTTTCTATGAAGTAAAGTTATTTTCATCGTTTGAGTAGGCTTTCGAGACTACTAGTAGATCTTGAATAAGAAATTTGATTTGAATAGCAAATAAAACCATGTTCAATCGAAAAATTCCACATGTGAAAGCGATATGGTAAATTATGACCCTCCTTGATAGTTACTTTTGGCCTGCGACCCGAGGGCACTCATCGCAGTATGCTGTAGTGGCTAATGAGTTAAGATTATAACATGCACTATCACAAGACGGGTTCAAGTCCAGCTGGGGCTGTTGATAATACCTAGGCGAGGTCGAAACTGCAGTCCATCCTGGATGAGAACAATTTTTGGGAATGTAAGGCTATGTGAAATTTAATGGAAATATGAGTCCTATATATATTATTGTGGGAAAATTCAGCTTGCTGTCCTTAATCACCTCAAATAAAATAGGGTAAACAAGGAGCTTTTTTTCCACTTAGATCCTGCCTTATCTATCTATCTTTGTTTTGAAAAATGAAAGCTTTCAATTATCCTTAGTTAATTACAATATTTCGGACTCTCTAACATTATTTTAAGTGGTCTTAGATGCGCTCGCTTTTTTTCATCCCTGGAAGAATTTGATTTTGGTCATACAAAATTATTCATTGCCATTTATTTTTAAAACGTAGAGTTCTCACTTTTAACCATTACAAATCAAGTGTGTGAGACATCATTGAGTATCTTAACGACATTGCTATTTTCGTTTTTCCTCTGACTATATGGTGTACTCTCTGAAATATCTACATTTCCATAGGAAATAAATAATCTACATAGGATATCACCTATGCTGAGTTCCTAATTACACCTATATTGCATAATTATCTCTTGTTTACAAAGCTGAAGCGCAAATTATCTCTTGGTTTACCAATATAATTCAAACAAGCAAGGGATATTATAACTAGAACAATATAGAACGATATACAACCATGGCTCCCTTCTAGAGTCTTCCCATTAAATTCGAATGCTTCCTAAGGAATCATAATATAGATGCTTCATTGTCTATCTAAATTTACTATCTGTGGCGCTAGTTTCTTTAACTCGTAACCAAACCCATACTTACCTGAATAAATTAGTATATTTTATATCAATAACTGATTCTGTTTTTGTTAAGCATTTATTAGCAATGTTTACTATTCAAGAATTTAGTCAAGCGTTATCCTTGATTTCATTTCTAAATTTCTTGCTGCTCTATTAATTTGGACGTTAACCTCTTCTCAATGCCTTTGCCATTCTTCTATTTGTCCATTCTTTCGACTAACAGATAAATGCAGAGCTCATTGATCTTCTCACCAGCATGTCAGAAAGTTACAACATCCAGCCTTCGCGTTCGGGTAGCAGTGCAAGTCGTAAGTTCATCCACATAGCTTTTGTCGTTTGTACAAAATATCAGCATCATACCCTTTGCTGCACGAAAATTTCATATTATTGAGAGGTTTCCGTGCAACGTTGTTGTTTCATCTGCACACTAAAGTAGGTCGACAAGAGCTAATTGCGAAGGGGCGAGGTGGTGAACGTGATTTTTCACGCCTTTCCCCATTGATTACTACGTGGACTCGAGACTAACAATTTATGCGAGGAAATTTGGGTTTCTAGGAATCACTTATTTCATAATTGCTGAGCTTACTTCCATTTCGAACGAAAGTATTTGGTCGATCCGATCAGAAGACGACAGCGGATTCCTCTTAACCAGCTGCCGATTAGCTTTGCTAGAACATTCTTGTTAATACTGCTTCCGAGGAAATCTCTTCCGATTAAGTCGGGCATTATTAGAGCACGATATCATCCTTACAACCATATTCAAAATAACTAATCCAGAAAGCTCACCAGCTAATTCCTAGGTACTATATATATATATATATATAGTTGAGTCGTCTCCTTTTTGCATGCAGCTTAGTAACCTCTATCCTTGAGTCTATTACTCAAGTACAAATAGTTATTACTTTGCATTTTGCCGGTATTTTTTACATTCAATATATTACCCATTTGGTCTATTTCAATGGCTTCTCTAATTTTACCTTTAGCTGCAGTCATACCATAATCAGCAAAAAAAGAAGTTTGAGATCCTTCAATATCGAGTCCAGTTTCTTCTTTTTGCTCGTTTAGCTCTGATTTTATAACTCAGCAGCCTCTGCAGGCGCTTTTCTGCTCACCCACCCGTTGTCGAATGGGACGAAAAGTTTCTCCAACATAAAAGTGATCATATGAAACCATTATTATATAGCAACCCGATCTGGATATTGGGTCAACTTTCTCTCTAAAAGTGGGCATAACTTAAGAAAGTATTGCTGTTTCAATAAGAACGGTTTTTACTACTTCCTTAATGGTTAGCCTATCTATTTAGAGAAAATGCACGGTGACAAAGACAACACATTGGAAAATGCTTCATCTCTCCTTACATATACACTATTAGAAAGGGTACTTTATTAATCTAATGTTATTTTCATTCAGACACAGATGATAATTATTCTCAATTAATATTAGTTCGAGTCTATCCAGTTCATCTTCACAATGCTCTCTATCGGCTAGTCTTATGCTCCGGGTGATCAGAGATTTTTAATGCCCACCTTTGTTTTGTAAGTATGCTTGGATATGAAATTAAAGGTAAAGCGAGCGTGCGTTTGCTTCCTATATACATTCCTGCCTAAATTTTTACTTGCCTTGATTGCTAACACATGCAAAAAATGTGAATTTTTGTGCTGCTTCGGCCTTGTTTTCGCAACTTGGTCGGAGCGTCAGGGAGACCTTGTGGAACGTGCCTAGCTCCGTGTCATGCCATATTGTTCGTGATTTATAGCTTCACACCATTGGCTTGGTACATTCCCAAACATTTCGCCGACGTCTTAGTCGGCATCACCAGTGAGAGATGCCATCATCAGAACAGAGTTACAACTAGTGAAGACATTCCCTTGACTTTCTAGTGCTACATTTCTTTCCCTCAACCTCACTTCATACGACCCATCTACATATACACAATTTTTTGCTCTCGCTTCTTCCAATGTTGCCTAAGAGTGTGTCCCTAAAAGTGGGTTTAGTGGAGCTTAATTATTTTCACCACTGGTGTCAGGTACCGCTTACAGGGCTCCTGAGCTTCATTGTGCCCCCTTTCCCCTACTCCACTTGTCAAATACTCGCTGCTAAACATCAAAATCTCCGTCTAGCTGTCTAAATGCCTTCAATTCCCGTTCCCGATAGCGCCATATTCGAGGATTTAGATCAGATGATTCCCATGCCAATTTCTGTGTCTGGGTATCCTCCTCTCCCTAGACTTCAAATCCATGACTCAATTATCTTCCTTATCATCTTACCCAAATTGTTTCTTATTCTTTGGGGCCCTGTGTTTAGCTTAATTCTTATTCACTGTTGTGAAAATGCACCGATTTCCTTTTTTCACCCAAATCGCGAAAAACACTCCTCGTCCTCCAAGTTGACACTCGCATCTAATCCTAGTGTATTAGGATGATTTTCATGTGTGTTGGCTGTTATCACCCGTTGTAAAGCCTATCATCAGTCCCCTGCCCTTCAAGCACAGACACGAAAAATTCACACAAGCACCCACACATACCATGGCGACCTATATATGGCCAGCCTACACATTTAACCTTTAATTTTATATCCTTAGTCCCACAGTTAGACCCCTCGAGTAATTTTTTTTGCCAGTTTCAGGTTTGACCCCTTTCATTGTAATCCCCTTTTCTCGATTTACCTTTGTCCCTGATGTGCCGCTTTCTGATGATGTCTCTTCCTGTTGTTAAACAGTTGCCATAGTTTATCTAAGTGTTTTCTTTTTACTTTCTTCACTAAATATATCCAAGTCTGTTTAGGTAGTACCCGAAAATATTGATGACTCTTCTCTCTTTTAATCTCCTGTTCATCAGGTTTCTTTGAAAGAGGATGTCGACAGCCTCCCTGATCTTCAATTTCCTTATGTTCTCTTCATATGAGGCCAGTCTTTCCGTTGCACTCTTATTAGTTGTGTGGCCGGTAAAAGCGATGCATTCAGCTATCTCTGATCTTTCCGTAGCAATTTTTCTACATAGTCGCTGGTGTTCTTTGATCCTTCTAATGATTGCCCATCCAGTCTCTCCGATGTATTTTTGTTCGCAGTCCTTGCAGTTTATGCTGTAAACTCCAGAGCACTCCATTTTCTTGACTTCTTCACGTTGTATGGGCAAGCTGGTGAAGAGGATTGTCCTTTCCTTCATGATTGTACGAATGTTCTATTTCCCTACTATCGGTCATAGCTCCCGAGCCAATTCGCAGAAGGGTAGACATATCCTTCGTTTTTCCTCTGTTCCTCTTGCTTTCCTTTCATAATCTCCGTCCTTCAATCTGTTCATCAGCATCCTTATGTTGTGTCGTGATGCTTTTTCTGTATATCCTCTTCCGAGAATCACCGTAGTTCGTTTTTCCACTTCCTCTTCCCAGAACTCAGAATATTTCTTCC